GTTCATAATTTCTTTAAAAAAAATTAAGTAGGAAAAATAAAAAATAGTTTTTTTAAGGTAATGTCGGTGCATCCCCGACTACAGCTGATATAAACGGCGGCGTAATAACTTTAAAGGGAAACGCCGCCGCCTTTTTGTCGTACAAGTCTAATTGCTGCTAATCTTCCGTAAATAGATATTATTTTTTTAGGTTTACATACAAGATTCGTGTAAATTTTCTACTTAATTGGAGGAAGAAAGTAAAATTGTGAAAAATATTTTTTGCTGGTTAGCTTTTAGCAAAAGGTATCCAAAAGGTTCATTCTTTTACTTTTTTGCTTTCAGTTCCTTGCGGCTCATTTTATTCCTACTTCCCTTCCCTCTTTCCCTTTCTTTTTACTTATTTTTTTTTCTCCATATAAGCTATTTTTTGAATACCTTATTTTTTGTATGTATTATGTCATGCCAATACGATTAGATTATATCATTCATTTAAGGCAAATAAAAATAATTGGATATTAAATATTCCTAAATTTACGATATTTATAAAAGATTATTAAATATGGAATAATATTTCAAGGCCAATTCTTTGCTTTAATTTTTAAAATGGACTTAAATTTAATAAAAATTTTTCAAATGTTCTTTTATAGTAGAAATAGCGGATATTAAAATTAATTATCAAGTCGGCTTTATATTATAAAAACTAATTTTGTAAAAATATAATAAAATAAACACGCGACGCGATTTAATACATTAATCGAATTTACATTTGGATTATATAGGTATTCTTTTATACAAAATATACTTAAATGCGTATAATGAATTGTCCTGTCCCAACCGCTTTTATCGGTAGTTTTGAATTTTGTTAAAACCAGTTTCTTGGATTAACCAACGAAAAAATTAATTAATTATTTTTTTTGATATTCTTTTCTATTTTTTAAAAAAATATGTATATTTACCATATTTTAAAATGAATATGGAGAAAAAATGTATAATGATCAGCCCAGGGCCCTATAAATGGGAAGGGATATTATGCAATTACATCACAGAAATTTATGGTGGGATTCAGTGGATACCTCTTCTTAGTAATCATAAATAGACAGTATATCTGTGTTATAAATGAATTAACCTGGGAAAAGAGGAGCTCCGCGTCATTGGCTTAGGGGAACTCTAGGTTTGGCCAATTTAGATTGAAAATCAAATAGCGTTGTTAGGTCAACTCCAATATGGTTTCGCCAATTTTTAAGCCTAAATAATTGATCTAAAAACCCTTCAAGTTGAGCCTAAACTTAAAAGATTGAGCAAATTTCTTAGGTAAGTCGTTTAGAGTTGGGCTATAATGTAGGTAATTTAACATCACTAAATGCAAAAAAGTTAGATAATTTTTTAGGAAATATATTCTATAATTATAACTTAAAACTACTATGTAATATTTGGATATATTTTCCATACTTGTAATAATGAATCACAGACAGAATCTCCTAAATAAAAAGACCTAGACAAAAGTAACCGGGAGAGGAAGAAATTTGACAAAAATATATTAGGAAAAAAGATATCGGACAAGCCAATTTTTAAAAATAAATTGAAGGCAAACTTCCCATTTTTTAAGCTTTTAAACCAATTTCTAAAATTGTCGTCCTGTGTCTTTTAGCCCCACGGTATTTTTGTCCAGTATTTTTTTTATCCGGATACTTTGTCCATGTCTTTTATCTAGGACATTTCTGTCCTCGATATGAAAGTGTTTTTAACAAAAATAAAAACCAAAACAGACTTGATTTATATTTAACAAGAAATAGAAAATGGTCAAAAATTTATTTGCTGAATTGTTGGGCTTAATATTCCCAAAAGTGAGCAATTTAAAAATGATGTTATATCATAATTAATGGTTATATTAACGTTTTGAGCTGGTGGATTTTGTTATCGTTAGATTTAATCCGTTAAATAAAATTTAAGCAATTTGTCCCGTTCATAATATGTTAAATAAAATATTTAAAAAAATCCAGCCTACAATTCTAATGATAATTTGTATATAAGACAATTTACTAGATGTCCGATCAATAAGACACCGACTTTTCTCGAAAGACCACGTTCGATCCGCCAGAAATTATTATTCTAAATAGGTCATATCTAATTGTTTCATGAATACAGCACATTCGTATTTGAATGGCCCTAATTTAGTGAAAAACTAGCATATCTTTCATAGAATAAATTGAATATACAACGCTCCATTGTAATATGAATTCTCCAAATATAATTATGCAAAAATTACTTAATTTAAATACTTTTATAAGAAAATGTATTAGTGAATCACCACTAATGCAATACACTTAATTTAAATACTTTTATAAGAAAATGTATTAGTGAATCACCACTAATGCAATACACTTAATTTAAAATCTAAACTATTTCGAGTATAACCTTATTATTTCAAGTTAATTGCTAATCACAATAATATAATAATGAATACAATTTTTCATGTAAAATTATTCGATAAAAAAACTCCTTTCTTTTTTAATCAAATAATTAATTAAATTCAAACAGAATACATACAATCAATAATATGCCAGGTACATCTAATAAATTAGTATAGATTTATAAAAAAACAACTTAGACGCAAATTTTGAAAATAGCACTGTTAAAGTCTAAAAAATCGTCAAGCTCAAATTTTTATGAATTGGGTGCGAATTTCATAAAAAAATAATTAATGATTATTTTTATATAGCACATACATATTTAAATTTAAAAAAAACAATTAAGTGATCGGTTTATTGCATTGCTATATTGAAACATGAATAGCAATGCAATTACTTTGGCGAATAGCCATCGTAATGGCATGTTTGAAATAGAAGGCTTCATTACGATGGTCAATTATTTAGCTTAATTTTTTCCCTTATATCGTGATAAATTTAAGGAATTCCTCACCAAAAACACCAAGACAAGAGTATTGGTGGCAAGTGGGATTAAAATTAAGTTAGCGATGTCTGAATATTTGTTTATTTTAAAATTTATGCCGAATTAAGTGATGAAACATTTCTATTGGAACGCGCCGAAAATCGATGCATATGTAATTCCAAAGGCTCTAGAGTATTCTGGATGCTGGCCATTTTAAAAGATTTAAAGATTAAATTATTTATGTTCGTATACCGTGGGAGGCGGCCTTTAAAATGTTTACAATGTAAAGAATGGTGTAATCAGGTAAGGAACAATTAATATATTTAGTAGGAAGCAATATATCGCAGCCAAGACGAAGCAAATGTTTTTTTCGGTGCAAATGTATATTATAATATTTTTTAATTATAAATAATTATGTCGCATAGTTTTTGAGTGTAGTTATTTCCTTAATTAAATCATTTTCATTTAAATTCCTTATTTTTTTATATAATGAACAAATTATATTTAAAATGGTGGTTTATATAAATAATTTACAAAGTAACTTTCAATGTAAATATTTACTTTCAAGAATAGTTATTAGGCTTTTCTCATCTCACCTCTCCTCATTGCTCAGGTTTAGTGGGATAACAATTTGGTATTTGCGAACATTATATTTCCATTTCTTTTAACTTGCTAACCCAGCCAGTAGCGTAGATTGGGAGGGGTGAGAGGGCACATGACTCTAAAATTCCCAATTTTTTTAATAGGATTTATTGCTTCGCCCTGCCCCCCCCCTCCCAAATGCATAGTCATAGATATGTCACATCGGTCGGACAACAATGATTTTAACATAAACATTAATATTTATTTATCATATATTAGTTATTGATTTCAAGAAAAAACTTAAAACACGCATGATGTATCTCTAATTATGCTTATGTTTTTTTAAGTTGCTAAATTTATTTAATAGCCGTCGCATGGCTTAAGGGCCATATCTTATGGCCTTGCTGTAAGATATTAAATTACTATAATCAATAGTTTTTTTCATAACTCAAAGGCAAACAGATGGTTAAATGTTCCGCCATATTTTATCTAAAGGTTATTTTAAAGATAAGACAAAATGTATAATTTTTGCATTTTTAAAGTCCTTTAGAGAAAATATCATTAAAAATATTATATTTGCTAATATTATTTTTTTTTCCATTATTTTATTATTACTATTACTATAAAAAAATATGCGCTTAGTAAGTTGTAAATATAATAATTTTTCGAATGTATATTCTTTTAGAAAATTGGAAGAATGAGAAAATAACACACATTATAATACTTAACTTATACAACATAGTCATTCTCATTCATATTATAATGTTATAAATAAAAAAAACATCTTATAAAAAATGACATTTAAGGTCAATAGGAAATTATGCATAATAAATTCTGTCAATTTTTTTGATATAAGTATATTATGTAGTTAAGTATTAACAAATTAAAATTTCATTTAACCTTGGCCTCTTTTTACTCGATGACCCGAAATGTTGTCCAACCAGTTGGTTATGGTTTACAAGTTATAATGAATTCTTACATCAAACAAAATAACCCCAAAAAACATTATAAGAATAACCTTGACCTCGTTTTACTTAGAAATAAAAATTTGGGGAAATTAGGTTTAGCTAAATTTTATAAAAATACAGAAAAAAATGAAGACTGTTGAGGGTGGAAGAACACATATTTTAGAATGATTTCTAGCGATGTTCTAAAGGAAAGAATTATATATGTTTTTAAAAATCTATCCAAATAATTATCAGCAGGGATTACTAATATAAGATGGGCGATATGACATCCAAAGATCTGTAAAAATCTACAGTGGAGTTTATGAGTAAAAAAATTGTTCTTATTGTATGGATGTAAAAGTGAAATTTTCTTTCAAAGTAAATTATTCAAAATTTCATAAAGATTATTTAACCCTTACCTTTAGCTTATTTACCCCCCAAAATCAAATTTCGATTCTAACTGTAATAAATTAAATAAATCAAGAAAAAAAATCGATGATAAAACTTATAAGTTTGACCATCTCGATAAATTCTCCCAACGAGATTCTCCCAATGAGCGAATGTAGTTTTAAAGAAATAAAATAATTAAATATAACTAACGTTGATTATGGCTCCTGCGAATGATTTGCTCCAAGAATGTGTTTTGTGGGGCTACCAATCCTTTCCTAGAATTTGAGATCATCCCGTATTTTTAAAGCATTTTTTTAACGTAATTACACGTACAATTCTTTTAAATTATATTTAACGATAATAGTATTTCCCTTTTGATAAGGAAAAACAATATAAATCAATCGTTATCATCATTAATTAAAATATCTTGTAATTTTTTTTTATATAGCACTTCTTAATTAGGAGTTAATAATAGAATAAAAAGGTAAGTTGAAATTTCTATTTAATATTTAAAAAATAGGCGCCTTTGAGCAATTCGGGATGTAACTATAAATTATTTTGAATTTTTTATTTTTGCTATGTGTATCACAGGTTTTTCCCCCTTTTAAATTTAGGTGAATAATATTTGGTTCCCGACATCATGTAGTATAGTAAAAATACAAGCGCGCTGACTCGATCCGCTTAGTGTTCATCGCGGGCCTATTTTAAAAAATTAAAGGATTTTAAAATATAAATCGACAAAATATGTATTTTTTAAAAAAACTTGAATAATCCATGATAAACTTGAAATTGATTGAAAGTAATGAAATGAATATTTATTAATATTTCAACACACATTTATAATAAATCAAAAAAAATTGAAATTATTTTAAAATGAAAAAAAATTAAGATGATACGAAAATATTCATTTTATTTTTCTTATAGATTTAAAGTGTTTTGACCAGATAAAAATAATCGCAGTGTTTGATGAATGATCTATTAAATAAAAGATTGGAATTTTTTTTTAGGAAAATGGTTATTATGATTAAGTGATCTGCATCGGGACTAATTTTAGGCCAGGACTAGTGTTGTCAAACGGCTCGATTTGAGCCGATTTTTAAAAATGGCTAACTCAATATTTTCGCCATAAAAATATTGCCTAAGTCTTGAGATTTCGCTAATAGATGTCCAGTTCCTTTGTTCCTTCTAACTAAATCTTCAGGCTTGCTTAATATGATTATAGATGAAATATTGAGTTAGCCATTTTTAAAAATCGGCTAAACGAGCCGTTTAACAACACTAGCTAGAACCGACCTGAAATATCTTTGAAAAAATTTATCGCGTCCCATCCCGAAGGAGATTTTTTTTATTTGCCCCGAAAGGCCCGGCCTGAAAAAAATAAAGGTTATTTGTCAGCCTGGCCTGACCCGAAATTATTTAAATGTAGAAATGAATTTTTATTAAAATATAGTATTATATTTTACGCTGAACATGATCGAGTTTTTGATCATTTCTACAAACAAATAAAAAATATTAGTAACTTGTTTTTTTTTTGCAAAAATTTTAAAATATATAAAGTTTATTTCAAAATTTCCAAGCCCTGCCCGAATTTATTTTAAAAATATCGGCTCGACCCAGCCTCAACGATTATAAATAATTAAGGAAAAGAACTGTTTAGGCTTATTTAATTTTTTATGAAACTTTATATCTTCTGCCTTTATCTTTTACCATCACGTTTGATTAACGACTCAATTATATCTCTTTATCATTCCCCACATTGCACTCATTAACTTTTAAATTCGGCGTTGATTGGTTGGAAATTTTTGTACTAGTCAGAGTTGTTTTACCTACAAGTCTTAATACACCAATCAATTTGTGAACCTTTTAAAATAAATCTTATCTCGACGAATCCCCCACCCATGGAATATATTCAGCTATTATAAAATAATGATTGTACTAGTGTGAATGAATGGATATAATACCAAGTCGTTCCCTAGATTAGCTCTTATGAGTTGCCATAGTCCATAGAATTGGATGTGATGTCGTTCAACCACATACATGCATAAAATGTGAAAAGTCGGTTGATTAGAACTAGCGTTAATTGTATATATAGTCAAGGCCGCAAGACATGCGACCAGAGCCTGAATACCAATCATTCTGGGGCCTTTTAATTTATCATCAGATGTAGGCTGGAGGCTATATGACTCTTCAGTATCTTGATCTTTAGACTGAATGCCCCTTTCTTTCCAAAAAAATGTTAAACAAATTTGGATGATATTTTCGAGACAATAAAAAAAACTTGAAATTAACTAATGATGTTTTCTATGCCAATTGTTATCTTTTCCCATTGAACATGTGTCAATCAGAATTTTGGGTTATTTTTTCAAATATAGGCGAAAAACAGAACCCAAAGATTTTTTATTAAAACTTTTTGACTAGTTTTTATAGAATGGCCATTTTTTATATTTCTTAGTTAATTTGTTAAATTATCATAATGTAATAACAGTATTATTTTCTTTCTTTCTTTCTTTCTGCCTGCCTGGCAATAGGCAAAAAAAAAATTTAATTCTAAATTATTAATGTAATTTTGATTAATTAGGTTTAATATTTAATATAATGTTAAATTTTTGATAGAATTAAAAAAAAAAATTGAAAAATAGTTAAATCTTTCTAAAAAATATTAAATATATTATCGATTTTTTAAATTATTTTTGTTTTTTCATTTACTAATCTAATCATAACCAATTTTAACATCCTATAGGTTCCATTAGACATTTTAGCCAAGTTAAAGCTCTTATCATCTTAATTTTTAATATAAAATATAATTTCTTAATTCTATATGTCTTATAAATTTACATAGGGTTTATCTGCCACTAATTACAACGAAAATTGTGGCCCAAATCTTTAATTTATTTTTAAGCCGTTCACTCTGGTCAGATCTTAAATGTTAATTATAGCTGTATTTTAATAAAGATAACATTTATTTTCATAATCTTTTTTAGGCTCGAGTGTGACCCTATTTAAAATAAAAATCCTGGCCAGATTTTGGACTGGTTTTTTGAAGAGTTCTAGCTCTTTAACATAAGAATTCATCTATCCAAGTATCAACATAAAATTTTTTGTTTATTAACATTATTATAACCCCTTCAATTCCATATCATCGTAAATTTTTTATGTTTTTCATGATTCACATATCTAATTAATTAAAATGAAAATCATTTAAAAGAGTGATTATTTGAAACATATTTATTTTTAAGGGAATCTATGCTGACTAGATTTGTGAAAAATCTACTAATTATATTGAAATTGGTTCTCGGTTTTCTCACTTCTTTTTTTTTTACCTTACTTTTATTTTAGTATCATCATGCCTTTTAAGAATCTTTGAAATCTCCTTCTAAAATAAAATTTCTAGAATTTTCCCCATCCATTTATTTCTGCCTATAAATGTCATATCCGCCTCTGGTCTCAACATTCACAAATTCTTCCAAATTTATTCAATTTTTTAAAATAGTTTTGAGGGTTCCTTTCTAAGCCATACGATTTTCAAACCGACATTTTTCTATCATTAATCAAATTTTATCAAAATATTAAATCGTATATCATTTTTTTTATATATGTACGTTATGGTCATTTATTTTATTAATATAGTAGATAAAATATTGAAAGCGGAGCAATTACTTTGATTTATTATTAAATTTAATGTGACAAAGAAAAAATAAAGGCATTTGTTTTTCTGTATAAGTTATGGTATTATTACGTTTAGTAATTTCGTTTACAAAAATAGATCCTCTTTTGTGGATTTTTATGGGGTATATTTTATGTATTCAAGAACTGATTTAAATCTATCTTAGCCTCCAATGCTAATCCTGAAAAGGCTTTTCTCTCGGCATTATTTATGGGTACACATCTATCAAACGGGCTTTAACTTCTGCATGAATTCCTTCCTAACTAACGCTCTAACGATATAATCTTAATCCCATGGACCAGGTGAAAATTCTTAATTGAGGCCTATATAACATAAATCCCGACTCACTGTCCTCAACTGAGATCTCAAAAACTAATAAATACATTAATTTATATAGTTTATACTTTTTATCTTCCCTTTCACCCCCCTAATCTCATGACAGATGGCACGAAAGTCCTTAAACAAATTTGGGAGGACAAGCATATCGTCGATAAAACAGATGAACCCGCGAAGGTTAATATACCATCAACAAAAGTTTTATACAAACCCGAGGTATGCGGATCCGCATCTGCGGGCATCAGGACCGGGCAATACGAACATAAAAATGAACGGGCCGGCCTGAACAATTCATACATAAGAGTTGGGCCTCGCAAATATCTTGTTTTTGATTAATATTCTTTAAAATAAGAATAAAACAGCAATGAGCTTATTTCTTTTTATTTTAATAACTAAATTGAATCTATAAATAAAATTAAAGCACAATTAGTTTCAACTTTGGCTGGGGTCACTTGTAAAAATTTATTTCAGAAGTTAAGAAAAAGATAATTGTAATATTGAAAAAATACTAATAGTTGCTAGGGAAGTAAACAATTGTATTTAAATTGATGGGAATCTTGATGATATTTCCCCCATTTTTGGCGATTTTTTTAAAAACTCAATTTAAAAGTTAATATTAATATCACTATTACTTTTAAATTTTCTAGTAGATATAAACGAGATTCCCATTTTTTTTTGCAATTTAGAAACCGATCCCAAACATTTTAGTTGATATTTATTTAATTCCAAATTAGTTAACTTTCTTCAAAAATACATATATTTTGTAAAATATATATAAAGAAAGTATAAACTAACGAAAAAAGTATTTTTAAGAAAAAATAAAAATATTTTCTATCAAAAATTGGTAAAAGTTTTTAAAAAATTTTAACGGGCCAGGTCATTCTTTCAAAATTTTAAGGGATCGGGCTAGAAAATTTGTTTAAAAAAAACTAGCGGGCCGGACAAACATTTGGGTAAGAAAGTTGTGCAAAAGATCTTAACTGACCGGGTTTTGCAGGTTTCTGCCATAAACATTTATTCGATCGAGTTATCTAAGCTTCATCTTCACTGGGCGATGGTGAAGATCTATTATGTTTCTTTTTAAAATGTGTTTATCAGTTTCTCCCTGCATATATTATATTATGTATTAATTTAATTATACTTTTTAAATTCTTTTTGTTTTTACCATATATATAATATGTCTAATGATATTTTTTGTTAATCAGTAGATTAGTTACAGAAAAAACGACCGGGAATAAAGGCCGCGCCAATAAATCCCGGACATGTATTATCCTGGGTTAAAAGACTCGGATAAAAATTACCGAGCAAAAAGACACTGGATATAAATATCCAGGGACAAAAATAACCCCGGACAAAAATATCCCAAATTTTAGTAATTAAAATGCTTAGAAATAAGTTTTATTAATGTATTCCACGCAGCATAAAGTATATGTTTGATTTCGAATGTAGTGGGTTTGGTCTCTGATAAATTTAATATTTCTCTTAATCTAATATAAAAACTAACCCTTATCTTTTCTGAATAGCTCTAAGCTAACCTTTGAGGTGGTTCATGAGCTCAGCATCCGGCCTTAGCCTGGACCGCGTAGTTTGGTAAAAAGAAAAACTAAAAGAAACTTATTGGCTGATGCTTCTTTAGTGTGATGTGTTAATGCCTTATTGTTATTCATATAAGTTAAACAATTTATATATAATAATCTTTGGTATATTTTTCTTATTTTCTTTCTCTCTCTCTACATTCAAGAAATAAAAATTTTTGTTTTACTTGTTATAATCGAATTAGAATACAAATAATTATCCCAAATGGGGACTACGATGATAAAGATTTATGTTAAAGAAATGAGTTCAATACCAATAAATTAGTTTCCCTTTCTACCTTTTTTTTTATTTAATAATGTGTTTTCCCGAGTATATAGATATTGACCACCATTAAACATGCGAATTTATAAAATACTATTCTACGTTTCTTCTACAAAAAAATAAAATAAAATAATATAAAAATGTCTAAAATTGACAGAAAAAAAAAGATTTAACTTAAAATTGCCTCAGAGGTAGTAAAACAAAAAAAAATATTATTTTAATTTTATTTTAAAAATAAATTTGATAAAGTATGATTATAAATAATTTTTATATTTACATTTAAAAAAAAAAAATGAATAATAAATACAGTGAAAACTTTAAAAGTGACCACCTATTTATCTTGGCCTCATTTATATGCTGCCCATCCATTTAAAATGTTATTAAAATATCTATTAAAAATCCCTTATTATTTTCAATAAATTCTATATCTTGACCAAGACTTGATCAATCTTGACTGGCCACCTTATTACAGTTTTACTCTCTAAATATTTCATATTTATTCAATAACAAATAAAAATGGCCATTTTAAAGAAAAAAAATATTTTAAAATGAAAAATAGGATCAGGAAAAAAAAAATTGTTATTTTAAGTCTAATATAGTAAATAGTAGAAACTGAGATAAGATCGATAAATAAAAGATTTAAAAAATAATAAACGGGTTCGAATTAATTGATAAGTAAATCAAGGAATGTTCAACTAAAGGAATTTTTTTAATTGGATGAAATATATTTAAACTAGTATTCTGAAATAAAGAGTAGGATCAAAGGTTAGAGAGATATGGGCATTAAGTGTTTTAAAGATTTGAGGATATGGGGTTAAGGGGTTAAGGGTAAAAATGGTTTTCGATTAATATGTTATCATTCTTTATAAATAAATTGTTAAATATGATAAGTCATGTGATTATAAATTGACAGGCACGTACGCAGCGGGGGGGGCAGGGGGACAAATCCCCCCCCCCCCCAAAGCCAAAAAATGCAGATGCCGATTATTTTTTCAAAAATATTATTGTTAATATTAATTTATATTTGTTAATATTTATTCTTATCTCATATATACATATATATATATATATATATATTTTATTTATCACATTCATCTACTAAGTTATTTTATCAATCAATTTCGATTTCAAGTTTTCCTTGGCGTAATTTACCTATTATTTTCAAATTTTAGTGGCGTAATATTTATCTAAATTTCTAATAAAATAATAATTATCTCTGAAACTCCTTGTCCAACAGGGAGAAAAAAATTGCAAGCTTGTTCAACGAGATCGAGTCTCCGCCACAGTAACAGCTATTTTGGAGTTAGAAGAGCTGATTATTAATGCTATTACTGAAATATCACAATGGCTTGAAAGAAATATTTCCTCAGAAGCAAGAAAATTATTGGATTCAATACTTTCCAAATTTTTTTTCTCATTAGAATGTATTATTTAATTATACAACTATTTTATGTAATACTTTTCAAAAACATAACATTGACTTGATTAAGAAGATGAGAATAGCGGAGAGCATTTTATTAGAACTCAAGGAAATAGAGCTAGTGTTGTTGAAGAATTTCATATTTTATATGTTATTGTTGAGTCAAAAGCAGAGCTATACGTGTTAAATATTTGTTCCCCTCGACTTGCAGCAAGCAAGCTCATCATCAAAACATTAATATAGGATCAGTAGAAGAGTATTATAAAACAAATGTCCCCTCTCCCAACCTTTTTCATATGGTGATAGAAAAAAAATATAAATATTTGTTATATTTTTATCATGAAGATGTTAAAATATCTTATGATGCCTTATTAGCTGAATAACTATGATTAAAAGATTAACTATGGTTGATACAGTCCCAAAAAATGCTATGGATGCTTTTTATTTCAAACACATTTTAGATTATACTCCCAATTATTAAAATGGTTATATATATATTAGCAGCTCTTTAGTAAACTAATGAGAGAACATTCACTTTTTTAAGAAGAATAACAGAGCCTTGCAGAGGTACCATTTGCAGGACCAGGCCCAGATTTTATTTTAAAATTTTTTCCGGCCCGGGTTTTTTTTAAAAAATTTTCAGGCCCGGCCCGGCTGGCTTAGCCCGAATTTTTTAAAATAAATTATATTTATTTTTGATATTTATAGCTAATAATGGCGATTTCAAATATTTGGTTTTAAAATATACAACTCGGCTCGGATATTTTTTCTTAAAAAATTTTCAGGCCCAGCCCGGGTGTTTTTTAAAAAAAAAATTACGAGCCCGGCCCGGGTATATTTAAAAAAATTAAAATACGGTCCGGCTCAGGGGCCGGGCCTGCAAGTCTGTGAAAAACATACCTATGAAATACAACATCTGAAAGTAGATTGAATGATTTAGATCTTTTGAATATTCATAGACATTTAACGCCAAGCAAGGATTGATAATTGAAAAATTAGCTCAAAACATACAAAATACAATTATTCCTAAGAAACTTTTTGTGTATTAATTTATATCTACAACATTTAAATTTTTTATACTTTATATATTTTAAAAGCTCAAAAAATTCAAATTTCAATTTTGGGTCATTTAAGTGATTCATATCGTGGGTTATATTCACTTTATATTTTATGATTCACATTTAAATGCCGGTTTATATATATAATTTTTTTAATTCACATTAGTTTAAAATTGTGTATTAGAAAAGTTATTAATCCTAATAAATTTATGCTTAGTATTTTTAATTAAAAATATTATTTCTTAAAAAAATTTATTATCCCCCCCCCCCAGACCAAATTCCTGCGTACGCGCCTGTAAATTGACAAATATAAATTTAAATAAATCAGCTGTTGTAGAGTTGAATCCATAATCGTATTATATTGTGATAAAATACTATTTACAATTTTACGTGGATTTGAGAAGGTTCAACTAATAGATCCGTCAGAATCTTTCGAGCACACATATCTGCAATTATCATTTGGTATAACTTTCTAAATATTTTAAAATAATGTTAGTATTACATAACATTTCTTCTTTTATAAGAAAAAAATTTTGGCAGTGAATTTATATTTATAAATATTATATATTCAAGATAATATAAAATAAAATAATTTGAAGGGAAATGAATATTATCAAAAATAATAAGTGGGGAAATTATTCGATGGAAGAGATAAAATTAAGATATTTGAATCGAGTAATAACAATAGCATTAATGTAAGAAAAGAAGAGATTCCTTAGCGTGATTGATCTCATCACAGATCAGTCTACTTAATCCTCTACTCTAAAGAAGGTTAAAAGTCTTGCTACCAAGGCAAGAGATATGAAGGAGTAATAGTGAGAGAGCCGATTTAGAAATTGTAAATATAGAGGCAAACGAAACCCCAGGCGGATCAATACATTTTTTTTTATCGATTTTAAAGATTCAGTGTAAGCTAATTATCGATGGAATGTAAACGGATTAAGTACCCTTAAAATATGATACCCACATTAGGTCTGTGACATAAAATGGCCTAGAAACAATCAAAATCTGCATTTAAAGGAATTCCCATTTTGCTACTGTGATTTAGCACATAAGGGCTTGCAATTTACAAATACAAACTGAGACAATTTCATAAGCTAAGTTGGAAGCCAGTTGTTAATCTTTAAGCAGTTGTATTGTTGAATGGGTCGATTTAGTCAATATTAAATTGAGATTTTTATGCAAGTTTCGAGATTTCATTAATAGATGTCTAAACCTTTCTGCCCCGCCCATAAGGAAGATCTATGAACTTGTTTAAATTTTAGCTAAAATATTGGGTTGACTGTTTTAAAAATTGATGTTTAACAACACTATTATGCAGTAGCGGAAAAAAAATGAGTTACAAGGTTATTAGAAAGCATGCTGTCAATTATCAGAGAATTCGTCAGTCACATGAGATGTTTATTTTTTTACTAAATAGAACAATCTCAATTTATTTTTAAATCAAGAAGTAACAAGAGCTGCATCAATATAGAAAGCTAACAAATGTAAGTCACTCACTATATAAAAGAAAGATAGAGATGCTATGTTTTGCATCGAAGATTTTTTCTTTTAACGGACAAATGGGAAAAAGATTGTCACAAGCCTTTTAAACGGAAATATCATCGATTTCAGCTTATTTTTTTAAGAGATTAATTTCTCCAAGTTGAATTATTTTTTTGTTATAATGATTTTTTTTAGGCCTGAGAGCCAAATGTCAACTAAATGTATAAAAGAATCAAAAAAATTTACGAATGATAAAAATTTTTTGTATTTATTTTTTCCTTTTTCGACGATTTATAATGGTAATAAAAATAAACACATAAATCATACGTAACTTTTAATATTTTGGTTTTTATATAATATATATATATTGAAAAGACGAGAATAGTACGTAAAAAAATATATATTTAATTTTTTAAATATTTTTGGCATCGAAATATTATATTTTAAAGTGTTCAGCCCCAGGGCCATCTAATACGATTAGGTTTAAATGTATATCCGTCTATTTATAATTACTTGACCCTTCATATTTCACAGGTGGTTATTAATAAAAATTAAATTTTAATTAAAATCCACTTTTAATGTATCTTAACCTTAACCCATATCTCTCCAACCTTCGATAATCCTTACTTCAGATACTTGTTTAATTTTGAATATACTTTATCCAATTTATAAAAAAATCACCTACTTTTGTACATTCTTTGAGTTGAACTATTATTCTCCAATATGATAGGTCCATATCAATTGCTTCATTGAAATCTGGATAGAGGGGAGGGTGCCTTATTAGTCATCATGCATGGTCAATATAGGAATTATTTTATATTTTTTCATCATCAGGAGCGGAGCTTCAAAAGGTTTGTTTTTATATCCAAACATTCCACTAGCTCTGAGAAAAAGACGTAAAATTTATTGTTGTCTGGTGGCCAGAATCCGGACAAAATTTCTAAACAGATCAAGCCCGCGAAATATAAAGTTTTTTAAACAAATTACTCAGATCAATTAATTAACATTGTTGTATCATGATTTTATGCATTAAAAATGCAATAATTCTTATAAAAATTACTAATAAAGCATCCAATATTATTGAATTATTTAGTGTTATTACAAATGAGGGACAAAAAAGAGTTTACAAGTCTATGCTTTTATTCAAATTTTCTATAATATAAATAATAATGATA